TTCATCCATCCATCAATCTACCCATAAATGCCTAGAAGTGGGACTGTTGGGTCACTGGGTAGGTATGTGTTGATATTCATTAGAAGATGGCACATATTTTTCAAATCTGGTTGTAAGATTTTCTGTCCCCACCATGTGAGCCTACAAGAATTCCAGATGCTCCACACCCTCACCAACCCTTCATCTTGTCAGCCGTGTTAATTTTTAGCGTGTAGTACTATCTCTATTAATTTGCATTTCCCTGTGCCTAGTACTATTGACCAACTTATTGGCCATTTGGATGTCTTTGTGAAGGTCCCTGTTCAATCTTGTGCTCTTTCTAAAAAAATGAAGTTGTTTTCTTGTTATAAGTCAGTTGTAAGAGTTCTTTGTATATTCTGGATACTAGTCCTGGCAAGTATTTTCCACCATATTATGGCTTGCCTTTTCACTTTCTTGTAAGAAACTTCCTTTCCACTATTTTTATTTTTGGTGGTAAACTGAAATTTATTTTTTAGTTTTGACGAGACTTAATTTATCAAAATTTCTTTTCATTGTTAGAGACTTTTTGGCCTACTTAAGAAATTTTTGTCTACCTTAAGTTTACAGAGGTATTCTCCTATGTTTTCTACTAGAAGTTTTATTGTGGTAGCTCCCACATTAAAGTCTATGACCTATTTCAAATCAACTTGTATGTATAGTATGATACAGGGCCTAGAATTTCATTTCTTTTTTTAATTATTCCTATGGATATCTAGTTGTATCCTTCTGTCCATCTTTCCATCTTTCTTATATTCTGGGAAGTAGCCATGCAGAGGATGCAGGAGGCAGGCTGTGCTGGGTTTGAACCTTGGTGTGCAGCTTCCTCTCTCTAAGCCTCTTTGGAAATGGGGAGGGCATTGCCTACTTTGTAGGGTTGTCATGAGAGTTAGATGGGATGATGGATGGAGAGAGATAGCAAAATGGGTGGTAGTGGGAAGCAAGCTGGAGAGCTGCCCTGTGGCATGTAGTAGGAGCTCAGATAATGGCAGATTCTCCCTTCCCCTATCAAGATAGCTGAACCAAGCCTCTTGCCAGGTGATGAGGGCACAGTGGGGTGGGTGCAGGAGGGGATGGATAGGGGACTGGGCACTGATAACTTAAGGGCTAGGATGGAGGACATCTAGGTCACTGTGGGCAAGAGGAGGCTCTGACGCATTCTGGGGTGTAAGACCATAATTTGCAGGGCCCTATGCAGAATGTAGGGCCCCTTGTAAAAATATTACCAATATTTTTAAGATAGCAACATTAGTATGTGAAACTGGGCCTTGTGCCTGCCACTGTATGGGTCTCATACCTGCAAAGCCGTTTCTGCTGGGCTGACTAGGAAGGCTTGTTGGAGGCCGTGCAGGTTGAGGCTGACCTTGAAGGACAAGCTGGAGAGGAATGCTCCCAGCAGGTGAGGCCAAGGTCTGAAGGCCCAACAAACAAGGTTGTTCAGTTCTCCATATAGAGGGGGCAACACCAAGGTTGCAGATGGGGAGTTAGTTGAAGAGGGCCAGATCCTGAGAGTACCCCTGTCTGAAGCACTGGGTTTTTTTACTGGAGACTCTGGGGCCATGGGAGCCTTGTGAGCAGAGGGGGTGTTGGGTGGTATGGTTGGGGGCTGAGGATGAAGAAGAAGGGATAGAGCACAGTTACCTGAGCAATGGGCTGTGGCAGGTGAGCAGGAGGGATGAAATGTACAGGGCTCAGGCCTGGAGAGAGAGGGTCACTCCCTGAGATGGGGAGCCTGGAAAGAAGTGGGTTTGGAAAATTACCCTGAGCTTAGTGTGAGTGGTCTAGGAGGATGTTCAGGGAGGGACCTCAGGTAGAAACAGTCTGGAGCTCAGGAAAAAAGTTGCAGTGACAGATGGCTAACTTATTTTTGGTTTTGAATTATAAAAATCATGTATAGATACACTCATTGTTGAAAAGCAATTGCTTAACAGTGTTGTCTGTTTCATTCTACGTGTATCTATGTGCAGTTTTTCTTTTAAAAAAAACACAAATGCACAATACTCTGTTGGTTTGCAACTCATCTTTCACGGAAGAGCACATCTTCGGGAGGGTTGTTCTTGGCAGCCCATGTAAGTCTCTCCCTCTTCTTCTGACTGCTGCAAAGTGTTCCATTTAATGGATCAACCACAGTCAGTCAATCTTTCTGCATTTTTGGATATGTATGTCTCCAGTTCTTCACTACTGCCACTGCTTAGAGGTCAGGAAAACCCTTGTATGTGCCCCTCTGTTCTCATTTGTCCCTAAAATGGCTGTGACGTTCCTTGTTAGACAGTGCAGATTTAGAACACTTACATTAACACAGAAAGTTCTATTGGATAGGACTGTTTGAGGCTTGGTTAAAGCATATCATCATTGTCATAAATGAAAACATTATAGAGATGCCACTCTTCCCTTCCCTTCTCTTCCTTTTTTTTTGAGTCAGGCTTTCTCTCTGTTTCCCAGGCTGGAGTCCAGTAGTATAATCATAGCTCACTATAGCCCTGAACTCCTGTGCTCAAGTGATCTTCCCACCTCAGCCTCCTGAGTCACTGGGATTACAGACGTGAGCCACCATGCTCAGCTGCCCTCTTGACCACTGTATTACTTTCCTATTGCTGCTGTGACAGATTGGCACAAACTTAGTGGCTTAACATAACAACATAAACTTATTATCGTTATGTTCTGCAGGTCACAAGTCTGAAATGGGTCTCCCTAGGCTAAAATCAAGAAGTCAGCAGGGCTGTATTCCTTTCTGGAGGCGCTAGGGAAGAATCCCCTTCCTTGTCTTTTCTTGCTTCTGGAGGCCTTCGGCATTCTTTGGCTTGTGGCCCCTTCCGTCTTCAAAGCCAGCAATGAGGTTGAATCATATCACTCCAATCTCAGCTTCTGTAGTCACATCTCTGACTGACTTGTCTTCTGCTTCCCTCTCCCACTTTTAAAGGCCTCTGTGATTACACTGGGCTCACCAGAATAATCTCCTTATCTTAAAGTCAGTTGATTAGCAAGCTTAATCCCACTTTGCCTGGTAACCTAACATATTCACAGGTTTCTAGGATTAGGATGTAGACATCTCTTTTCTGGGGGGAGCATTATTTTGTCACCACAACCATCTTCAATCCTAGTCTTCTCTCCTCCATAGAGGCAATCCCTTTATTAGTTTACTAGCTTAATCTTTATAGAATCTTTCTCTGAATTTATAGGAATGTATATACTTCTGCACAATTTCTAATTTTGTTGTTTTTTCTTTTTTATGCAAATAGCCTGGTACTCCATTTGTTATTATGCTGTTTGCTTTTATTTACTCAGCAATATGTTGGTGTCATGTCAGTAATAAAAATAATTTTGGTATATAGTAATATGGTAATGTAGTAATAGAAATACTGTATGGTAAAATATGTTGCTATCTCATTCTTGACAATGCTTAATATTAATATGTGTATTTATTTGCTAGGGCTGCAATATCAAAGTCCCACAAACTAGATGGCTTAAACAATACAAATTTATTGAATAACAGTCTGGTAGCCGGCTCGGCGCCTATAGCTCAACCGGCTAAGGTGCCAGCCACGTACACCTAAGGTAGCGGGTTCGAATCCCCAGCCCGGACCCACCAAACAACAATGACGGCTGCAACCAAAAAATAGCCGGGCGTTGTGGCGGGCGCCTGTGGTCCCAGCTACTTGGGAGGCAGAGGCAGGAGACTCGCTTGAGCCCAGGAGTTGGAGGTTTGCTGTGAGCTGTAATGCCACGGCACTCTGCCCAGGGGGACAGCTTGAGGCTCTGTCTCAAAAACAAACAAACAAACAAACAAACAAAAAAAACAGTCTGGTAGCCAAAAGTTCAAAATCAAGGTGTCCACAGGGCTGGTTCTTTCTGATGGCTGTGAGGGAAGGATGTGTTCTAGGCCTCTGTCCTTGTGTAGATGGCTGTCTTCTCCCTGTGTCTCTTTACACTATCTCTTCTCCATCCAAATTTCCCCTTTTTGTTTTATTAGGATGCTAGTCATCTGAGGTTGGGGTCCACTGTACTCCCGGTGACCTCTTACCTTAACTAAATATATCTGCAATGACCCTATTTCCCAATAAGGTAAAATTCTGAGGTCCTGGGGATTAGGTCTTCAACATATGTGTTTTTGGGAGACAAAATTCAATTCACAATAATACTGCTACTCTAGAGTTATCCATTTTTCTGTTAATGGGCATTTAGGTCCTTTGTAATGGTTTGCTGTTGCTAACAATGCTGCTGAGATTCCTTTTATGAAGTTAAACACAACTCATATATTTATGTGGCATGTATATTTAAGGAATACATAGAAATGCAATTAAACTATATACAAAGGTAAGTGGGGGACTGATGGATCAGGACTTGGGAAGGTGGTATGCTGTATGGGGGAGGCACTGAGACAGGTAGGTAAGGCTGAATGTAGCTTTTTGTCAAGGTCCTGGGTGCCTTCCAACCTCGTTTATGATAGCCAGTCGGTTAATGAAGTAGAAGCAGGCCATGTGTGGGTCAATGTGAGAGTGGATCATAACAGTGACCAGTGGGTTAACCAAAGACATTAAGCTTGTCATGTGTAACTGGGATCTAATATTAGAAAGACAAAGAAAACAGTTCCAATGCTGCTGCAGACTCCGGCTTCCTCTGGGAGGGATCCTTGCTGTGGGATGCAAGTTGAATTTGAGATGTGTGAAGCCTTTCCCCGTGCACCTCTGCTCCTATTGTTCTCATATTCCTGAGCCTGGGGGCTAGGCGTACAGTGTTGCTTGGCCACTGCCTGGGAGCTCACCAGTCCCAGTTGGTCCTGAAGTTTTGACTGCTGTCTTCACAGAATGGTGCAACGGGGACCTGAGCAGGGAGAGGGCTGGTACCCTGTGGGAGGTGCCAGGTGCCTGACACCCAGACCCTCCCTGACCCAGGCATCCAGCTTCTCTTCACCAAGGCCCACTGTGACAGCAGCATCATTGATGACCTCCTTGGGGTCAAGGACTACATGCAGGATCGGGACATAGGCCTTTTCCTGGGCCTCATTGAGAAGCGGCTGGTGGAACTCCTGACGGTGCAGGCCTTCCTAGATTCCCAGGTGGGGCAGGACTGGGAGCCAGTGCCTGGGGGGCCAGCACCTGGGGGATGGGCCTGAGCTGACCACTGGGCTCCAACACTCCCCAGGGCTATGCCTCCTTGGTTGATGCTTCCCTCCTGGTTTTGGGCCAGAGCCTTGAGGATCTTCCAAAGAAGATGACCCCACTTCTGCTTCCTGACAACCTGTGAGGCACAGACCAATGGGGAGGAAGCAGGGGAAAGGCAGTTCTTTGGGGGCGGAGAAAATGCAACAGGATGGAGGGTTTTGAGAGGCTCTGGGGACTAGATGGTGGACATGGACCTGGGGAGATCCCTTTTATGAAGTTAAATACAAGCAGATGAAGTGAGTGCTTTGAGGGAAGCTAGAACAATAGAGACTCTAGGAGTCAGGGCAGCTATATGGGAAGATAGGGCCCTAGGCACTCCAAAAGGGGAGCAGGCCGCCAGAGCTGGCCAGAGAATGGCTGAGGTTCTCTAGGCATAGCAGGGAAGGAACAATGGCCTTTTGTGTGGGTCAAGAGTCTAGCCTTTTCCAGTTTTCATCCACCTTTCTAGAGAGGACCCCCCAGGTTTTGAGGCCAAAGATGACTATCCTATGAGCAAGGAGGAGCTGCTGAGCCAAGTGTTAAAGTTGGTGAGAGCGGGAGCCCACCAGGGTTGGGGACAAGGACCTCAGCCCTCCTTTGGACCCTAACTTACCTCTCCCTACAGATGGCACTCTCTGAACAGGCTCCGGAGCTGAATGAGGTTGTGAAGACCAACAAAGTTTTGAGTGCAGGCATCTCCAGCACCCGGGGGACCACCTTAAGCACTGGTGCAGTCACCAGGGACCCCAGTGCTGCCCGTGGTTCCATCTTGATCCATAGGACTAACAAAGACCGTGGCACCAGCTCCACTGGCCGTGTCACTTTTGGCATCCCTAGCTCCAGTACTGGCCAGTTGTCCAGCCGTGTCACTTTTGGTGACCCAAGCTCCAGTGCGGGCCCTGTGACCAGTGCTAGTGGGGCACTGACATCCAGCCGTGTTTCGAGTGGGGGCCGTGTGACCTTTGGACCCATCAGCTCTAGTAGCTACCTGGGGTCCACTGGATACGTGGATTCCAGTAGAGGTCTAGAAAGTGTTAGAAGTAGTATAGACAGCAGAGCCACGTCAGAATCGAGTGGAGTCCGTAGGTCCAGTAGACACCGTGCCTCAAGTGCTGGCCCTAGCTCCAGCACCGGCCCTGGCTCCTCCACCAGCAAAGACTCCCAGCGCTAGTAATAGGGGTACCCAGCCTCACCATCCCTCTGGCTCCCTGAAGCATCTTTTTTGTGTCTCTGTCTCCTATTTGCTGTGTGACTTTCCTTCTTTGTCTACTAGTTCCAGGTCTTTGTATCTCTTTATCCCTCCATCTGTTTCCATTTGCCTTTTATCTCCTCATCTCTGCCACCTTGACTTGTCTGTTTTTGACCCTCCTTCCCCTTCTGTCTCCCAATCTCCTGCTCTATTAGTTTCCTTTTCAGTGCCTCTCTGTCTTGTCCCCAGTTTGCCTCTCCAGCTGTCTCTTTAGCCTTAACAGCTCTGCTTATCCCACCACCTTCTGCTTCTAGCTCCCTCTCTTCATCTCTATCTCTCAGATTCTCCTTAGATATTGTGCCCCTGTCTCCTTAGCTCCTCATTCCTCACCCTTCCCAAGAGTCCCCTGGTACTGACGAGTGGGGAGAAAATCGGGGCAAAGATGTCAGGTTCAGCATGAGCTGTGACCATGGGAAATAAAGGTGAGAGTCCGATTTCTACCCCAGGCTGTTTACAAGTGTATGTGTGAGAAAGCAAGCTTGAAACACAGCTCCTTCCCCTCTCTTCCTCCCAGGAGAGAATTTATGACCCTATCCCTATTCCATGCCTTTCATTCTTCCACTTTTTGGAGACCTCCACATTTCAGCCTCTACAGGGAACTGAGAAATATATCAGTCAGGATAGACTGGGCTATGCTGCAGTAACAACAAACAAGTCCAGAATCTCCATGGCCTAGATGCTATAAAGTTGTCTCTCCAATGAGGGTCAGCTAAGAGCTCTGTTTCACATCATTCTTTGCCCCAGGCTGAAGGAGCAACCTTTATCTGGAGTGTTGCCAGGTGGAAGAGGAAAAATGGCAGAGCATGCAATGATTCTTAAAGCTTTTACCTGGATATGACATGTCATCTCCACTCACATTCATTAGCCAGATGACTATGCCTAACTACTAAGGCGAGGGGGCAAGTGCAGACTTCTCATTGTCTGGAAGGAGAGAAAAGAAGGATTATTTGTGGATAGCCGTAATGCCCACTGCAGGGTCACAGAGATACAGCAAACCTGAAGCATCTTTTTTGTGTCTCTGTCTCCTATTTGCTGTGTGAGTTTCCTTCTTTGTCTACTAGTTCCAGGTCTCTGTATCTCTTTACCCCTCCATCTGTTTCCTGCAGTGGGGGTGGGTTTAGGAGTGAGATTAAATATTATGGATAACTGTTTCCTGTAGTTGAGTCATGCCAAGTACTCTGTTAAAATATAATCCAAACAAATCCAAATGTAATTCATCATTTACCTCCTAATTCAGGAAAGTAGTACTATGAACCTTATTCCTCTTAAAATGGGTTGGCAATACCACATATTTAAGAGTAAACTGAATTGATATATGTAAGCCTTAGAACAGTACCCAGCCTGCAGTAAATCTTAAAAAATATCTGACTTTAAGTAAGGTGACAACAAAAATGAAAATAAGTGGCCAGGTGAGAGTGCTCATGTCTATAATCCCTAGCCCCTGGGGGGCCAAGGTGGGCAGATCACCTGAGCTCAGAAGTTTGAGACCAGCCTG